GGCCAGCCCTACACCCAGGGGATTAGTCAGGACTAGACAGGCAGGGCTGCAAAACCAACAGCATCTCAGCTGCAAAACTGTGGTCACGAGCTGGCAGGCCAGAAGTTTGGGAACAGCTATTTTTGTGGTTTATTTATAGACAAAGCTTTTAACATTGCTACCACAGGAGTATGTTGAACAGACGCTCTCATACTGCAATAATATAATAAATAGCATTTAGGGGCTGGAATTGTGTTGTCTTGGGTTTTCTTTGGTTTTCTTGGCATCTGCAATGCCTGGAGGAAACTCAAGGCATCTTTAATCCTGATTTAACTTGGATCCTTGTATTAAAACATACACAAGTGGCATTCAAAGTATATGCATTTCAAACCACGTGGCAAAAACTTCCTGGGGAAAACAAAACCAAGAACTTCTCTGGCTCCTAGGAGGCTTTCAGCTCTCCCCAGTGCCCTTGCTGTGGTGGCAGGCACAGCACATGGAGCAGTGAAGAGCATGGTCCCTGCTATTCCCTGTGCCCTGGGTTGACAGCATTCCCCACCCTGCTGGGCATCCTCTCAATGAGCATTTAAGTGCTGGTGTTTTACAAGTGCAAATACTTGTGGAAATCTCATTTTAAGCTCCAGTGGTCACTGAAAGCCAGTTTCAAAGGCAGGCAGGAACAGAAGGGTGTGATTTACATAACGGGGCACGGCAAACTGGGGCACTTCAACACTGCCAGACACAGAATTACTCACTGCAGAGAGCACAGCACCCCTGCAACCACAGACACTGCACACAAACTGCAGCCTGCCAGGAACAGGGGCACACAGCCTGGCAGGAACAGGGGCACACAGCCTGGCAGGAACAAGGGCACACAGCCCTACAGCCTGGCAGGAAAAAAGGAAGAGGGGCTGATTTCATCAGGGAGAAATGATCATTAATCAATGATCAGCCCAATTTTGAGAGTCCACCTTCCAGCCCTGAGTCTGTGGAGTGTCACAAGTGTGTGACATTCTGCAGGTGAGGAGCTCTCAGAGCCTGAAGTTACTTGGACTTGAGCAAGGCCACAGATCTTTGTAGCATCCCAGCCTCTGTCAAGTCATGGAGATGAATCCCTTCCTGCCCAATCCAGGCAGGACACCAGGACCAATCCCCACGAGAGCAGAGGTTCAAGGTTACTGCAATAATATAATAAATAGCATTTAGGGGCTGGAATTGTGTTGTCTTGGGTTTTCTTTGGTTTTCTTGGCATCTGCAATGCCTGGAGGAAACTCAAGGCATCTTTAATCCTGATTTAACTTGGATCCTTGTATTAAAACATACACAAGTGGCATTCAAAGTATATGCATTTCAAACCACGTGGCAAAAACTTCCTGGGGAAAACAAAACCAAGAACTTCTCTGGCTCCTAGGAGGCTTTCAGCTCTCCCCAGTGCCCTTGCTGTGGTGGCAGGCACAGCACATGGAGCAGTGAAGAGCATGGTCCCTGCTATTCCCTGTGCCCTGGGTTGACAGCATTCCCCACCCTGCTGGGCATCCTCTCAATGAGCATTTAAGTGCTGGTGTTTTACAAGTGCAAATACTTGTGGAAATCTCATTTTAAGCTCCAGTGGTCACTGAAAGCCAGTTTCAAAGGCAGGCAGGAACAGAAGGGTGTGATTTACATAACGGGGCACGGCAAACTGGGGCACTTCAACACTGCCAGACACAGAATTACTCACTGCAGAGAGCACAGCACCCCTGCAACCACAGACACTGCACACAAACTGCAGCCTGCCAGGAACAGGGGCACACAGCCTGGCAGCCTGGCAGGAACAAGGGCACACAGCCTGGCAGGAACAGGGGCACACAGCCTGGCAGCCTGGCAGGAACAAGGGCACACAGCCTGCCCAGGAATAAGGGCACACAGCCCTACAGCCTGCCAGGAAAAAAGGAAGAGGGGCTGATTTCATCAGGGAGAAATGACCATTAATCAATGATCAGCCCAATTTCGAGAGTCCACCTTCCAGCCCTGAGTCTGTGGAGTGTCACAAGTGTGTGACATTCTGCAGGTGAGGAGCTCTCAGAGCCTGAAGTTACTTGGACTTGAGCAAGGCCACAGATCTTTGTAGCATCCCAGCCTCTGTCAAGTCATGGAGATGAATCCCTTCCTGCCCAATCCAGGCAGGACACCAGGACCAATCCCCATGAGAGCAGAGGTTCAAGGTTACACCTCAGCTCTTTGCCCAGGGCTCTGTGTGCCTGACAGCTCCATGCACAGCCCGTGCTCCTGCAGGAAGCCATGGCAGCACAGCCTGGGGGGCTCTGGCTCCTCTCCTCTGCCCACCACGGCTTCCAAACTGCTCAGCCCTGCTGTGGGACTGCCTCATGCCACATCAAACAACCAGTCCTGCTCCTGTTGCTGCATGGGCTGATCCTCTACCTGCTCCTCCTGCTACCCACAAAGCTGAGACCATGTCCCAGCATGTCACAGTTGAGATACACAGAGTATCCCCACACAATTCCAGAAAGCTTCACCCCAGAGTAACACCATATCACATCAGAGGGTTTCAGCCCATACAGAGTAACATCACATCACTTCAGAAGACTGCAAGCATCTTTTTGTTCTTCAGCCCAACCCTTTACACCCCTCATGCTCATGCCCTGCCCCTGTGTGCCCTGTGCTCCCTTTGGTGGTTGCTCAGTGCCCTGGGCACTCCATGGCTCACTGCTGCCAGTGCTGCTCACAGCTGTGCCCCCTGGGGTGAGGCTGGGCCACAGCCCCACTCCCACTACCACAAACTGTGTGCCTACAGGACCACCCTTTCCAAACCCTACAGTGGCCAGAAATCCCATAAACATCTCCCAGTGGGACTGGATGGGCTGAGATTTTCCTCCCTGCTCCCTCAGTGCACAGGGGAATATTGGATGGATCTTATCCTGGTACCAGAACAGAGTCAGGGCCCTCTGAATCATCTCCTGTACTGTCACCCTGGGTTTCCCAAGGACATTGTCACCTGGGCAGAAGGCAGCCAGTGAATGCACCACTGACTTGGAAAGAAGCTTCCATTTGCTTCTCCTTGTGCACAGATCCTGAACTGGATGGGACAGGAACAAAACTGGCCCTGCTTCTGTTCATCCCTGCTTTTGAAGAACTGCTCTTCCTCAACTTCAGTCCTCCAAAATGATTCCTGCACTTCCAGAGAGCCTCAGCAGAATGCAGTAACCTTGAACTCCCTCCAAAGTCACAGGCTGGTACAGACCTACTGCACTGCTCCTTCTGGGTGGTGCACGTTCCAGAGGAAGGGAAGAAATGCCTTGTTTACAAAATCAAGGAATTCCATGGGATCTGGCAGCTGCAGTAGGGTGCCCAGAGCTCCCCTGGCAGGGCTCTGTAGGGCAGTCAGAGCTGAGGAGAGCTGGGCACCACCCGGGGCTATGGAGGAGCCATTGCACAACAGTTCAGATGTAGAGAAGGGAGCAGGCAGCTCTCGAGGGTGAGTGCCAGGGCAAGCAGGGCACAGCAGGACTTCAGTGGCACAGGGACCAGCTGAAGGAAGGGGGGCAGTGGCAGAGCCCTGCAGCAAAGGGCCTGCTGTTCCACTTGCTCAGTGTCACCTTCTGACCTTATGCTGACATTTGCAGCTGTCAGTGGAAGGGGAGTTCTCTCAGGGGAACAAGCACGTGAGGTTCTTTGTGCTGGGTCAGAATTTTCCATGGATTTCAGCTACGTGTGCAGGGGCACAGAGCACAGCACAGGATGTTCTGCCCACCTGATCCCAGAGAGCACCAGGCTGGAAAGCTGAGCAGCACTGAGCACCCAGACCTGCAGAACTGGAGATAAAGCCAAGCTGGCCCATCCCTGCATTGATTTTACATTTTCTCTGTCATTTGTACAGCCTCACTGAAATAACCCAAGAGTTGGGCCTACTGCCACTTCCACCAGGGCCTCATCAGCCTGGGATTTGCCAAAGCTTGTCTTCAGCTCAGAACCTTTTCCTCAAGGGTCCCACTTGGTGATTTGCAGCAGGTAATGAGATGCAGAGAATCCAATGTCCCTGGCAGGAGAAGCCCAGAGGCACTGCACCCTTTGCTGGGATGCCAGCTCAGTCCCTATCCCCCTCCCCTGAGCACCGTCCTGACCTTCTGCATTGTGCCCAGAGCTCCACTGAGCTTTCCATGCAGAAAGCAGTGGGAATGCAAGGACTGTGAGGGGATGGATAAGGAGCTGCAGGAGTTAGACTGGGACTCCAAAATGCTCCTCAGCTCTGCAGCCTTCCTGCATGAGTCACTTCATCTCTGTTTAACAGCTCTGGCTGTGACCAAAGAACATTATCCTTGTCTTTAGGGGAGACACCTGGACAAGGATGTTTACAGCACAGCACAGGTTGTGTCTCCCACAGGACAGGGAGCATCCTGGGATGGGTCACCATGAGCTGTGACCATCACAGAATCCCAGAACAGCTTGGGTCAGAATGGACCTTAAAGGTGATCCAGTCCAGGGACACCTTCCACTGCCCCGGGGTGCTCCAAGCCTTAGTGTCCAACCTGGCCTTGGACACTTCAGGGATCCAGGGGCAGCCACAGCTGCTCTGGGCACCCTGTGCCTCACTACTCTACCAGGGAAGGATTTCTCCCTAAAATCCAACCTAAACCAGTGGGTTTAGACTGGAGTCCTTGAGGGAGCTAAGTTGGACAGGGAGGGCCAGGCTGGGATCTCCTTCACTTCCCAACTGCTCGGGGTGCTCCAAGCCTTAGTGTCCAACCTGGCCTTGGACACTTCAGGGATCCAGGGGCAGCCACAGCTGCTCTGGGCACCCTGTGCCTCACTACTCTACCAGGGAAGGATTTCGCCCTAAAATCCAACCTAAACTTACCCCCAGTAGGTTTAGATTGGAGTCCTTGAGGGAGCTGAAGTTGGACAGGGAGGGCCAGGCTGGAATCTCCTTCACTTCCCAACTGCAGCACAGAACTGAGCACCACGCCTGGAGAAGGGCTGCCAAGGCAGCAGGTAAGGAAGGAAAGTCTCCCCCCTGTACTCACCAATCCTGTCCAGCCTGTCCAGAGCCACGGTCTCGAAGGCTCTCCTCATCATGGGGTACTCCTCCAGAACCTCGTTGAAGTTGTCCACGGACAGCGAGTAGAGGCGGCAGTAGGTGTCGGCACGCACGCTGGCCGTGCGCCGGCCGCGCGTCAGCAGGCAGATCTCTGCAGGGACACAGCGCCTGAGACAGGGCATGGACACCCCCAGCAGCACCCCCGCAGCCCTCCCTGAGTGCCCTCACGGGTGCCCTCCCTGCAGTGCCCTCACAGGCTCCCTCCAGGCTGCCCTCCCACAGAAAACACAGCCATGGTTCACATTCTGTGTGCACACCGACGTTTCAAAGCACCAGGGCTCGCCTCGGGCAGCTGCCACACACAGCTGCCCCTCGGGGTTCTGCTGGTCCAGTCAGGCACACAAGGTTTGTTCTGGGGGATTGTCAAAGGCAGCATTGTGTGTTCACACTGGAGTTGTGTTTCTCCAGCTCCTTGCAGGCACTGGGAGCAGAAGGTCAAGCCGTGCTCTCCTTGAAGCCAATTGTCTCTAGATTTGTAGAGAGGCTCTGTGCTGATCTGTGCCTTTGGTGCCTGGCTGTGATTTTGATCCCTGTACCTGGAACATTTGTCTTTCCACAGTTTTCAAAGATTTTCATGTCTATGCCACGAGCACTGTCAGGGAAAGCCACAGCAGTGGCACCTCCCAGCTCAGGGTGTATTTACGCTGCTGTCACACACTCCTCACTGCTCAGCTGGTCACTGAACACAAAGCCCTTGAACACCCGACAGGGAGCTCCCAAATCCTGCTTCCCACTGCTTGCACAGAGCCTGGGCAGCAGAGACAGGCACTTCAGGACAGATGGTGTGGGCTGCAGAGTGACAGCACTGTGCTCCCTGTGTGTTGGGTGCCAATCCTCCTGCACCATTCCTTGGGTTCATGCTGAGCCTCCCCAAAGCCCTGCTGCAGCAGCACCACAAGGTTATGAGTGTGCTCCTAGGCTGTTTTCCCAAGGAAATTATGCTTAGGAGACAGTGCCACGCGTGTGAGGAGTTGGGATGGAATGTCACAGGCAAGTTCAACCCCATCTGGCAGTCAGGGTATCCTGACTCCAACCCTCCAGCTCCAAATGCCAGACTGCAAAACCCTGGTACCCAAGTGAGGTTGTCCCACACGAACCAGGAGTAACAGGAGTGTGGGAAATTCATCATAGGGATTTTTTAGAGGAAAGGCCTGGCAGGTTTTGCTCTGTCTCCCCTCAGCAGTTCGTCAGGGGTGGTGCACTCAGAGCTTGTCCCACAACCTGCCTGTCTGGGGTGAGCTCTGCACAGGCTCTGACAGGACAGGGGTTTTGTGTTTCTCATGAGAGCAATGCCCCAAATCCTTCCCAGCCTCCTGCTGGTCCCACTGCTCCAGAGCTCTCTGCTCATACATTTTTCCTGCCTGCTGACCCCCAGGACACTTTGCTGGGCCACAGGTAGGGCAGATAAGGGACAGTTTTTTCCTCTGTGTTTATCCAGTCCCTCATGCAGTAGATGCTGGAGTAGGAATGTGCCTGCAGAATTGAGAACAGGCCGTTTTTACCTTTAGGTTCTCAGCTTCACCCACCCATCAGAGGGAAATGAACCTGCAAGAACCAAGTTTCTCTGCTGTGTTTTCCTGTTATTTGTGACCTAGGTTCTGCAGTGCCCACCAGTCACCTCCCCCTGTGTGGGAAATGGATTTATAGAAAATTCTTACAGCCTGACAGAAGGCTCACACAGTGTGCATCTGTATGCAAACCTTGAGATAAGAAATGCTGACTGAGAAATGCCATGGAATGGGACAGACATTGTGGAGAGAGAAATGGAGCTGGGAACAAGTTTCAAAGGATGGCCTTGCAAATAAGACTGGATACTTTGGAGGAATGGAGCTATGAAAGATGCAGTGTAGATGATTGGCTTTAAGGCATTTACAGCATGGTGTGACAAAAGCTGATAGGCCAAGAAACACTTATAATGTATTGTAATTAGGAGACATTTGGTTTCTGATTGTGATGGCATGAATTATAACATCTGTATTCACCCACCCTTCTCATGAGACTGAAAATGGAATAAAAAGTTTTTAAAACACCTCTCTGGGTCAGAAAAAGGCCTTACCCCAACACCCTGCACCACCCCCTGTCTGGGAAGCTGCCCAGAGATGGAGGAGGAGGTGCTGGGGTCAGTCCCAGAGGATCCAGCACGGCTGAGCCGTGTGGCTGTGGAGGGTCGGGGAGCAGCACGCACCTCCAAAGTAGGAGCCATCAGCCAGCTTGGTCTCCTTGTTGCCCTTGGTGAGGACGCTGACCACGCCGTGCTGGATGAAGTACATCTTCTTGCCGATGGTGCCCTCGCGGATGATGTAGTCCCCGGGCTGGAACACCTCAAACTTCAGCTTGGTCAGCATGGACGTCACAAAGTTGGGGTCTGCGTTGGCAAACAGGGGCATGGAGGCCACCAGCTTGCGGCAGTTGAAGTTGATGATTTCCTGAGAGGGGTGGTGTAAAGGACAGGACACACATATGGTTATCAATACCAATGACCTGTGAAGGTCCCCACCTGAGCTGTGCATTTTAAATGGCTGTGCCTTGGTCTGGCTGTGCCTTGGTCTGGCTGGAGAGGCAGTGCTGGAGCTCACCTCTGCCTCCCCTGAGCAGGGAGAGCACTCAAGCCTCCAATGGAATAAAAAGTTTTTAAAACACCTCTCTGGGTCAGAAAAAGGCCTTACCCCAACACCCTGCACCACCCCCTGTCTGGGAAGCTGCCCAGAGATGGAGGAGGAGGTGCTGGGGTCAGTCCCAGAGGACCCAGCACGGCTGAGCCGTGTGGCTGGGGAGGGTCGGGGAGCAGCACGCACCTCCAAAGTAGGAGCCATCAGCCAGCTTGGTCTCCTTGTTGCCCTTGGTGAGGACGCTGACCACGCCGTGCTGGATGAAGTACATCTTCTTGCCGATGGTGCCCTCGCGGATGATGTAGTCCCCGGGCTGGAACACCTCAAACTTCAGCTTGGTCAGCATGGACGTCACAAAGTTGGGGTCTGCGTTGGCAAACAGGGGCATGGAGGCCACCAGCTTGCGGCAGTTGAAGTTGATGATTTCCTGAGAGGGGTGGTGTAAAGGACAGGACACACATATGGTTATCAATACCAATGACCTGTGAAGGTCCCCACCTGAGCTGTGCATTTTAAATGGCTGTGCCTTGGTCTGTATGCTCAGAGCAGTGCTGGAGCTCACCTCTGCCTCCCCTGAGTAGGGAGAGCACTCAAGCCTCCCAAACACACACAGCATTGCTGTTTCTGCAGGAAACCTTGGGCTGTGAATGTGGTATTCACATTCTCTGGAAAATCCCTTCACCCAGGATTTTTCTCCTGGGAAGCTGAGAAGCCTCAGAGAAAAAGGATAACAATTTTATCTCATTTGCTTCTCCTGTGTTGTGCTTGTGTGGAATGTGGTTGGGGATTGTTCACCCACAGGTGATTGTTCCATTGGGTTCTGCTGTGAGTTGTTTTCACTCTTTGGCCAATCAGGGCCAGGCTGTGTCAGGACTCTGGAGAGAGTCACGAGTTTCATTATTATATTTTTAGTATTCTGTAAGTATCCCATCTGTATTCTTTAGTATAGTTTAGTATTTAATATAATATAAATCATAAAATAATAAATGAGCCTTCTGAGAACATGGAGTCAGATTCATCATCCCTTCCTTCACTGGGGCACCCCACAAACACAATAGTGTGGGGGAGCACAGCAGCAGTGCAGTGCTGTCTGACACAGCCCAGGGCTCCTCTCTGGGCAGGTGCCATAGCTCACCTTGGCAGCCCCTGCTTCTCTGCTGCCCTTGCTTGTCAATGAGCTGTTAAACAGCACAAATGTGGGCAGATGGGGACAGTGTCAGGAGAGGAGGGAGAGGGGCTCACCAGGCACGGGGCAGAGGCTGGATCACCAAGCCTGGCTGGAGAAAGCCCAGCTCAGCTGTCAGCACAGCCAGGCTGTGCCTCCCCTGGGGCTCTGTGTCACTCGCAGGGGTGACAGCTCAGGAGCTGCTCTGTGCCCTGGCAGCTCCCACTCAGGATGTGGTGCTGAGCCCATCACCCAGCACAGCACTCCATGGGAACAGGATAACTGCAGCATGAAGAGAGAGAGCTGGGGAAGCATCTGTGTCCTCCCACGGGGGTTTTCAGAGGGGTACCCTTTGAGACTTCAGCAAAACAAGTTTTAAACTCTGGCTGGCACTTGCTCAGCTCTTCTCTCTCCCATGGAGGAACATTGCTGGGGGACAAAGACAGAAACCAGCCCCTTCTGGAGCTGGTGGGTGACACACTGGAGACACAGCAGGGACAACCTGCATTGCCAGGCTTCATCTGGGAAGGCAAGGGGGCTTCTCTGAAGGCTCCTCCTTCCTGGGACTCCCCCGGTGGGTGCGACATGGATGAGGCCAGCACTCCATGCCAAGTTTTAGCCAAACACAAGAGGTGGGAGCTTCCTGAGCCCCTGGCCCAGGAGCTCCAGAGCTGCCAGAGGTGCTGGGAGCATGCCCTGCCCGTTGGCTGCCCTCTTACCTCTCGCAGGGGCTCGCTCAGCTCCCCCAGGATGCTCTCCTCATCAAACATCTTGCCCTGGTAGCGGTGCTCGTAGTAGTCGTGGATGCGCTGCCGCATGTCGGCGGGCAGCTTGTGGAAGGACATGTACTGCTCCACCTGTTTGTACTGAGCAGGGAGACACGAGGCCACCGGTTACCAGGACATGCCACAAACTCAATAGCAGCACGTGCTGACCCTGTTCTCTTCACCTGCAGCACTGGAAGGACATGTACTGCTCCACCTGTTTGTACTGAGCAGGGAGACACGAGGCCACCGGTTACCAGGCCATGGCACAAACTCATGGGTAGCCCCTGCTCCCCTCACCTGCAGCACTGGAAGGACATGTACTGCTCCACCTGTTTGTGCTGAGCAGGGAGACACAAGGCCACTGGTTACCAGGACATGGCACAAACTCATGGGCAGCCTGTGCTGGCCCTGCTCCCCTCACCTGCAGCACTGGAAGGACATGTACTGCTCCACCTGTTTGTGCTGAGCAGGGGGACACAAGGCCACCAGTTACCAGGCCATGGCACAAACTCATGGGCAGCCTGTGCTGGCCCTGCTCCCCTCACCTGCAGCAGCAGGGAGGGGCTGTGCCATCCATGGGGATCTGCAGACTGCCCTGCTGTGTCCCCCAAATGGCTGCCCCGTGGTTTAACCTTAAACTCATGCTCAGCTGGGAGCCCTGTGCTCCCCTCCACACAGCCCTGTGGCAGCAGCTCTCTGGCCACAGAGAGAAACACAACTTCCCCAGGCATTGTCCTGGGAAAGGCTGTGAGAAGATAAGAGAATGAAAAACAATTCTTATCTTCACTTGCTGCACCTGTTGTTGTGAACGTGTGGAATGTGTTATGGAGATTTGTTTACCAAAGGGTGGTTTCTTAATTAGCCAGTGGTGATGTGTTTGGACTAGAGAACCATTTAGGTCAACCTGTATCTGTCTATAAAAGAACAAGCAGTCTCTTAATAAAGATTATTATTAATCAGCCTTCTGTAACACATGGAGTCAATGCTAATTATTACCTGGCTGGGGGCTAATTACTACAGCACAGCCCCAGCTGGGAGCAGGGCTGAGGAAGGAGTGCCTGGCTGGGAGTGTGCAGGGTGGGAGCAGGAGAGTCCAAATGCCCCCAGCTGTTGGAATGCAAGTCCCTCAGGGCACAGGCCCAGAAAGAAATCCAGGCTCAGGATTGAACTGAAACCCCTAGAGAAATTGAGATATATGAAGCCACAAAGTGGAAGAGAAATATAGATTTTAGCTTTTAGTAGAAACTTACACTAAGTGCCTTAAGTATCTAAAAAGCTGCAGCAGAGAGCAGAGGCCTTTTTGTCCTTAGGCACAATTCTACCATAGTAGTGCCAAACTTTTATTTCTATAAAGTTACTCTACCCCAGACCAAATGTAAACTTAACCTGCTCACATTTTTTAGATGTAGTGTTCCCATAAACAAGAAAAACTGACAGAAATTCATAAGTAGTACTGAGCAATACTCCAGTAATGTTGTGTAAAATCTTACAACCACTAGAATTAGGCCATGATTAGATAAAAACTAAAACTGTGAATTAAACTCATTAGTTTATAACCATATTTAACCTATACTCTACATGCTGGATACCCTTCCTGCTCACTCACTACCTACCTGCCTACTCAAGACCCCACTCAGCAGTTGTTTCACTGCTGCTACCACACCAGAGACAAGGATGTGTCCCCTTGGAACTCTCCCCTTCAGAAGATCTTAGAAGAATATCGAATAAAAACTTGAGTGTGGCACAGCAGCAGCCTGCTCCTTTCACTCTCACCTAGGGTGAATCACAATCCCACAGCCAAGGAAGGGTTTTCCATGGCAGGGCAGTGGCCAGCCGGGCTCCAGAGCTGTCCCAGAGGTGCAGCCCAGGGGCTGTAGCAGGGCAGGGACAGCCCCTGCCCTGGGTGTGGGCTCACAGCACAGGGGCACATCTGGATCACACCCTGGTTATTGGGCTGCAGCTGCAGTCCCAGCCTGCTGCTTCTCCCCTCTGTGCTCCTGCCCACCCTACACGGTGGAACCTTTGCTTTCCCATCACTTTCTTCCCCTTTCCTTCGCTCTGTGCCTCTGTGTCACCCTAATCCCTCCATGTTTTCACCTGATGGCTCCCATTTCCACAGCTCCAGTGGAATACAGGGCATGCTCTGACTGATGGCAGAGCAGCTTTGGGGGTGGATGGTGCTTTCTGGGAGTAAAGGACACCTCCCCAAGGGCCAGGGCTGTACCAGGGTCCTGCTGCCCTGCAGGTGCTGCAGGACAAGGTGCGTGCAGGGAATGGTCACACTCCTCTCACTGCTGGCAGCACAGGACACAATCCTCAGTGTGCAGTGCACTATGTGCTGACAACAGGACTGTGCTGCTCCTTTCCCAGCCTCATTTCCCCTCTTCTCCCTGATAAACGTGTCCCAAAATGTCCCTTTAGTGCAGGAGAGCCTGATTAGTGAAGTTGTGCCCGTTACAGCCCCAGGTCCTGCTCCAGGGACAGCCTGTGCTGGCACTGCCAGCTCCATCTGCACCACGCAGGAGAGGGCATCACTCCAAGGAGCCAAGGTGGCACAGGGGACACTCGGGGCTTCCTGGCATTCCCACAGCACAGGAACCACCTGGAAATACTCCTGACCCCTCCAGCCTGACCAAAGGCAAGGAGTCCCCAGCTCCAGCTGGCCCTTTGTCACCTGCGTGGCTCAGGCTGTGGCAGGACAGGATGTGCTGGGTGCCCCAAGGAAATGAGGCAGGGAAAGGAAGGGAAAAGCAGCAGCACAGTGGAAGACAGCAGCTCCCTTGTGGGCAACTCACCCAAAGAGATTTTGGAGGTTATGGTGCTCCAAGCAGAAGGTTTCGGGGTTTTTGGCTCCACAGATGTCTCCTGCCACTGGAGAGGCACTGCAGCCTGAGACACCCATGGGACTGGCAAACCAGGTACAGGATGTGTGGGACTCTCACATGGAAAGGGCAGTCATGAGGCACGAGGTTCTGCTGACTCAGGTTTATTAAATTAATCTAATATCCCACCAAGAGCTCTGCTCGTTTTAATGCTGCATTTTTGTTGAATACATGATTTGCCAAAAATATCCCCTTAGGCTCTCACCTTTAGTGCAGTGACCAGTGTCACCAGGTGCAGCCACCTGCCCCTGTCCTCTGCTCCAGTGGCACTTGCTGTCCATCTTAACTGCCCTTTGCTCCTTGGGAACAACATCCCCACGCTCCAAAAATGCACCAGCAGGGGCTGGATGGGGTGACTGGGACTCTGCTTATTCACCACTGAACATGGATTTATGGCTTTGCAACAAAGAGCAATAAATTACTGCTCTGCAGTGTCCCCAGGGCTTGTCAGAGTCCCCTGTCACCGCTGTCCCCAGATAAGGCTCCCAGGGAAAACAGGACAAATTTACTTCCCCACGAATAAAGGTGCTGCTTCCCATTGCAAATGGAAATCAGGGTTATAAAAGCAAGCTGTGAAATAAGGAACCATCCTTCTCTGTCATGGTTAAGGAGAGGGAGATCTTGTCTCTCCTGCCTCTGCTGGTGCTCCCTGCTCTCAGCCACGGGGGTTTGGGGCCCTCAGCTCTCCCTTGTGCAGAGATGGGGTCAGAACTGGAATCAACCCCTTCTTTCCATGTCTGAGAAACTGAAGATTCACTGGGGTTTTCCCCCTTCCCTTGGAGCTGCTGAAGGCCCCACTCTTGTGGGTCAGGCAGATGATGCCACGCTCAGCTGGCTCTCTCTGAAGCCACTTGGTGTCCCTTTGGTGCCTTCCAGCTGTGGCCAGGCTCCCCTGACAGCCCCTTCCCCTCCTCCCTCCTCCTCTCTGCTCAGCCTCCCACTTGTCCCCCTGTCCCCAGCCTGACCTGTGCTCAGAGCTTAGTGGCCTCTCTGAGTTCAACTAAAAACACTCATTTAGGAATTATTTAAATCTCTCTGAAGACAATTGTGCCCATTTAAATCCCAGCTCATTTTCTTAAGTCTGTTTTTCCTCAAATAGCCCTTGAAGGAGGTATTAATATATCAAAAGGAAACCATTCAGCTGAGGATTTTTGCTCCTCTAGCTGGCCACTTTCCCTCCTCTTCACCACTTTCCTTCTACCAAAGCTCTGACACTCACAGCCCAAAGAGAACTGAATATTTTTAACTCCTTCCATGCCCTCAATATCCATCAGGAACCCTCCTGTCTCTGGCAGGGATAAATCACTGAATAGTGATCACTCAACCCTTTCCTTGCCCCAGTTCTGAAGGTGAAAACCACCAGGCACAGGGGGGGATTATTGGGGTGTCCTGTGCAGGGCTCCACAATCCCTGAGGGTCCCTTCCAACCCTGCACATTCCATGATTCTGGCACTGCTTGGACCCTTCCAGGATTAGCCTGAGATCACTGTGGCACCAGGTTTAATCCCAGTCACAAACATCTCCACATCTGGAGCCCACAGAAGTCACCAGAGATGCACCTGGAGGCTCCAGAGGAGCATTTCAGCTCAGGGAAGGATGGTGGTGCTCTGCCAAGGCTGGGCTGAGCCACCCTGTGCAGTGCTGGGGCTCTGCAGGTGGAGCAGTGCTCCTCAGGGGAAGATCAGCTCATGGGGTTCACCTGGATCACCTCATGGGATTCACCTGGATCAGCGCATGGAACTCACCTGGATCAGCTCATGGGATTCACCTGGATCAGCTCATGGGATTCACCTGGGGCTCTGCAGGTGGAGCAGTGCTCCTCAGGGAAGATCAGCTCATGGGATTCAGCACATGGAGGCTGCTGACAGGACACACTGGGATCTTTGGTTTATTTTCCCTGATCTCTGATTAGGAGTCAAACAGTGCTGCCCCCCAGCATTCAGGAATCATCAAACCCAAGGAAATGCTGACTTCTGGGGTTTTTTCTCTCTTAAGCCATTCATATTGCCACCCTCAGGATCTGTTCTATCCTACATCTCACTCCACATGGTCATTCTCATGGAGTCACAGGACTGCAGGAGGAGTTTAAGGGAACAACAGAAGTTCTGTGACAAAAACCTGGGAGCTACCTCCATTCTGCAAGAGCTGCATGTGATGTCCTGGATGTGAGCCTTTCCAAAGGCTGGATTCACTGATTCCTGTACCATGGCCCTTGCT